AAGTAAAAAATTGGTGTTGCCTAAGGGATCAGTTTTAGCTTTTTAATCATTTCGTGAACGATTTAATGGAAGTAATATGGATAGTCGCATGCACGCCTTTCTGATTTGATTGAAAATTGAAAAAATAAACGAATGTCTAGCAAGAATTAATCATTGTATGCTCAATCAATACTCTTTCGATTAACGCGAGCAAATTACCTCCCACGCCCTGCTTTTCAACCGCGCCGAACTCGATAACAATCGATAACAACTGAAAGTTTAGCCCATACATCGATCACATTAACACCAAGATTTTTATGTATTTGCAAAAGCTCTACAATTTTCATGTTTACCTACTTACCGGCATCAAATTTCAACTCGTTCACACTCTTTTTAATATCTTCTAGTAATTACCACAGGACGTCCTCTATGCAATTATGTTACTAAACCGAAATTAACCATGCACAAGATCGTGAGATTTATCTGTAACATCCGTCTCAGGTACTATGTTTGACCTTTCGTGAAATTCTCGTTTGAAGGTTACCTTAAATGTAGACTTTTGATCGGTTGCTTTAAAGTTATATGCGGGCCATCAGCTTGCTTCCTTTGCAAGCGATTACAATGAATAGTAGATCTAGTCGGAATCCCCAAATAGGTATTCACTTCGTAACGAGCTCACGCGATGTACGCGCCTCGTACTGCGCTCGTCGTTGGGATAATCTCCCTCTAAATCTTAGAGCTCTTAGAGCACAGGGGTTACCCTCTCTTAAGAAAAGATTAGCTATTTTGAATAATGCACATATACATATGGACAATGGCCTCTTATTCATAACAGGTTTTTCTTTTGCCCCTTACAAGCGTTACAACAGGTTTAGGAGTTTAATTATGTAAGTATAATTTAATGGTAAAAGTACTTGAACGTTGTAAAATACTTAAGCTATGTAACTGTGTAAGGATCAGCTTTGTTGTGGCTACGAAATGAACAAAGAAAAAAAAAAAGGAAAAAAAAAAAAAAATGAAAAATGTTTAGTTCAGTAATGCATCAGACAATACAACAAATCTAATCCTTTTCAGCTCTTCATTATGAAAATGGAAAAAAGAGTTACAGCTAAATAACATCGATCTTTTCATATCCATCACCGAAGGATAAGTGGTATATTCATTTTGTCAAGACGTTTACAACGCCCAGAAGGAAGCATCAAAGTCAAAGCATCTTCCTGATCAGCATCACATTCTAAATCGATTTAAGCATATCTGTCTGTCCATCTGTCCGGCTGTGTAATGTCTGTTGTAAACATTCTCCTGGCCACAAAACTGAAACTATCGACATCAAATTTAACAGAAACATTAGAAGTTCTTGCGCGCCGCTTGATATTGAAAATGGGCCAAATCGATCGGTCGAAGGACAGCACCAAAGCGTACCGCGATGAGAACACCTCTGTTTTTCAATGAAATGAATGAGAATTTTGGTTTGTTGCTCATTACTCATAAGCCATAGCAAATAAATGCACGAAAAATTTGAACATATATTCTATGGACGATACTGTACACAATGTGTGCACAAATGGAATTTAATGTCCATCTGTGTGTTTGCGCAACTTGCAGATATCGCCTACAAATTTGCAAAAGAATTTGAAGAAAGGACACGCCTACAATGCCCATATGTCTGTACGATAAAAAATTATTTTATTTTGAAAATAGAAGAAATAAACTGCGCCGACTCCATATTATAGAGCATATGAGAATTTTGTTCTTTTACTTCTTTTGTATTTTTTTTTTTTTTTTTTTTTTTTTTTTGTGCCAAACGATTATATGGGTATAAAAGATTCGGTCCCGATTGAATTCAAATTTTCTCACTTGTTTAAATTTACAAAACTTTTCATTGTATTTTGATCAAGAGAACATCATAATGGTATTGCGCATGCACTTTGACTATTCGAATATTTTCGATAATTTCGTTGGAGCAAAGTGAAGGGTTTTTTAAATAAAAGTTTGTATCTAGATAGTGACAATGCTCGCCTGCCGTGCACATCATTAATAGACATAACATATGAACGTCTACGTGATAAACGTAACATATAGCCGTCTAAAGTTAATAACAACAACAAAGTTAATAAGCGATAGGCTTTTAATTATCATGTTTTTGATGCCAAGGCTAACGAATCGAATCAAATTATTCAACTTGAATTGACGCATATGGAAAGAAAGAATTTAAGAGAGAGAGAGAGAGAGAGAGAGAGAGAGAGAGAGAGAAGTTCGACGCAGATATAAATGGGCCATGATTATATAGCTTCTTTCATTCCTTCTTTTCTTTCATGCTTCTTACCCTTCCACATTGTCATATATAATACACATAGTGACAGAGTATCTATAAAATGTTTTATAATTAATTATTTAGCAAAATGATCAAGTCTTAAATCGAAATTGCATAAGGTTTTTTTTTTTTTTTTTTTTTTAGTGGGAGGCAAAGTTATCTTTCTTTAACCGAAAGAAAAAAAAAAAAAAAAATAAATAAATAAAAATTTTTTTTCCAATTATAATTTTTATTAATGTTCTCCTTCTTCTCACAAAGTCATTTAGACTCTATTCTTGGATATGGTTTAATTTTAGATGCAAGTCTAGGTCAGTGAATCTTGAAAACAAACAAAAATTGTAATTAACATGTCCGTCTGTCTGTATTATGAAATGAATACCATTCTATAAAAGTACATAATAAAATATTTATAAATATATCTCGTTGTTGCTCATATGCGCAGTACATATATATAAATATATATATATATGTATTTCTTTTTAGAGGTGTTCTTTTGAAGTTTAAGTGCAATTATATGCAATTATTAAGACCTTTATCATATGATTTGCATAATTTAGTAACAGTTTTGTACTTTTAATAAAACAATCACAGCACATATCCGTAGTTTGGGCTTCTGTTGAGGTATAAGCAAGAAATCAACAAACAAAGAAACGCTCAAACATTTCGTTTATGTATAAGAGATGATTAAAAATTAATTCACCTGCAAATTGAGCTGTAAACATCGTTTTTACACCACCACCACAACCACCGTCAGCGTATTACTAAAGTATATTAAGCAAGTAAGTTAGCAGACGTTCGCAATACATCGGCAGGTACATTAATAGAGGAGACAATGGCAAATATAATAACTAGATTTTAGATTAGTAATGCCTCTCTTCTTCTTCTTCTTCTTCTTCTTCTTCATACTAGCACTATTCACCTAAGTAATGAATTAAACTTTACGCACAATTGTTCCCTTTTGCTCCACATATTTAACTCAATTAATTGATTCGTCCGTAATCAAAGAAATTCGAACAATCCGAGGTCTCTTAATAGAATTTCCGTGCGAGCTCAATTTATCTGGCAAGAAGTCGTGTAAAATATTACATTACATTACAGCAACAACATAATAATCTAAGTTTACACGAATGATTCGCATTCGTGTCCTACGCTAGCTGTGGACGCTCCTCTCTCACCCATGAGCAGTGAAATTGAAACTTAAAAATTGAATTTCAAGTTTTTCCCTTTTTTTGAAGGTGTGCTGTCCAAAAATAGGAAGCGAATATTATTTTTCTTGACAAAACACGTTTGCCCGTCTTCCAAGTATTACCACTTAAATATAATGCAATCGTGCCAGCGCCATTTCCCATCCTCGGAGCACTTCTGATAGGCGCTTGACCTCCTTCAGTTCTTCGATACATTCGTAAACATGTCTTCGACTCTTACATTGAAAGTACAAATAAATGAATAAATGAATATTAATGTGTATGTGTTTTGAGGTTATGTCGCAGCACTTATTTCTCGTGATGCGTCAAATCTGCAAAAAACTCTCAAATCATTTTTGTAAATCAAAATTTACATTGACATTTATACTAGTCCTACGACCCTTAATGTCAATTTAGAATCGTTGCATTTGGCCGTAATATGCGAGTAATTGAACGTTTCGTCTTAAAAACAAATTCAAACATGCTTTTACGCTTGACAGATACAATTGCATGTGAAATTGAAGCATCTAAGGAGCGAAAAGCATATTGCCGCTGTATCTGTTGGCCCGAGTTTAAAGATTATGCCTTGTTGTCTAGTGAATTATGTATTGATACCCTACACTATTTGTATTACAAAAATATATTAAGTTTGTGTGAAGATATGTAACGCCCATCTCTTATCTATGCAAAAAGTGATTCTGAATCGAGCTAAGGCTATCTGTACGTCTGTCTGTCCATATAATCTTGTGTCGCAATTTTCCAGATAATTTGATGAAAAATTATGAGAATTTAAAGAATTGCGCGGCAAAAATCGCTGCTCAATATTATTTCGGCATGCCAAATCGAGATGAAAATTTTAGGTCGGATGAGGCAATTTTTCGACTCTTTACTCTATAATTCTTTCTATAGAATATTTCTTGGTAAAAATGCAAGAAGAATTCAACTTGTCGAGTTTGGATAACGTAGGTTCCATCCCATAGAAGGATTCCATTGAAAAACAGGCCTCTATATGCCAATGCGATCAAATCTTACCCAGTTTTGGTAACGCAGGTCTGGCTTTTTGAATACCATCCCATGTAAGGGCTCTTTAAATGTCTAAATTTTGATATATTATGATGAAAAGTGATTCGTAAGAGTAATTGGCGATAAAACTTATCTGCATCAAATTCGGATCGAGTAGATCAATTTTTTTGAACATCATCGCACACAACGATTGTCATGAAATATTAAACGCTTTTATGCCAAGAAGGTGTAACTTTTAATATTTTACTCCAAGGTTTGCATACTATAGGACTATCTTTCAGACTACATTATATATTTAGGGGCTGTCGTCATAAAGTCTAGTAACGGGTATCTAAAAGTCGACTTTGCTCAACGATAGTGTTCTTATTGATTTGATTTTTTTTTATTTTTTATTTTTATTTTTTTTTGTTGTATAGAGGAAAACTTTGTGTTGCGGTTACGATTTGCGCGGATGTGCGACCATTTTTAGAGAGGAGAGATTCGGCGGGAATGTTGTTCAATATACAGAAAATTGATCGTTTAGAGGACAATTTGATAAAACTTTAATAGTAGAAACAATGATTCTATTTGTCTAAGGCTTTTAATCGCTTCTTAAAATGCGTACATGAAAACCACTAGAATTCCTGCTTAAAAACATGTTAAAATGTGACCGCAGACAAAAAAGAAAACAAACAGAAAAGCAAAGCAAAAAGCATAAAAAGGAAATATCTCACCTTAGAAAAACTGTTGAACAAATCCTAACACTTTTTGTGTATTGGAGGCAAATATATACAAGAAGTGACACTTAAACGTATACATAAACACACATGTTAGTTAGTAGTGTGTTTGCATATAGCAATCACCGCAGAATAGATTGAATTTGCGTGTCCAGTGTTAGAATGAATTCTCTCATCGCGAATTGTTTTATTTATATACATATGTGTTTTGTTTTGTTAGTAAATGCTTTAAATGTGCAACGCTTGGTTGCATTTACGTTTGTATTGGTTAGCACGGTATTGTAGCATAAATTTTATGGCACAGAACAAGACACAAAACAAGGTGGAAAATTTGCGAATACACACAGCACAAAGCACACAGCACACACCACACTACGCAATTGAAAGATGCCACCATAAACACCAGCACCAACACATTGCATATTTAACGTCTATGTACTTGTGTGCGCCTATGCTTAACAATTGCTATTAAATTGGCAAAAAAAAAAATAAAAATAAAATCAAAAACCAAAAGCAAAACAAAAAAAAAAAAAAAAAAACAAATGCAAAAAAGAATATAAAACGCAAAACATTCAGAGCTACGATACAGGTAACTAACGTTAATGAGTGAATTGTGAATTTTCTTTCGCTGAGATGCTTTTGTTGCAGCAGTGTTGGTGGTGGGTGGTCAGGTGAAACACAAGTGAAATACACACCAATGGAACCACAGTCTATTACTGTTTGCTTAGAGTTTCTAATCTTAGTTTTTTTGTGTATTTTTATTTTCACATAACTGAGAATCTTATTTAAATAGGTGGCCACCGTATTAGAAAGCAGTCAGTCGGTTTGTTCTTCTTAAACTTTACGGTTCTTTTCTTAAAATATATGCATACATATATATATATATATATATATATATATATATAGATATATATATTATAAGTATATAAAATTATTATATAATTAAAAATTTATAAACTTATTAATTAATTTTTATTTATTTATTGTTTTTTTATTTATTTATATATTTATTTATTTATTTATTTATTTTTTTTTTGATGATTTTCAAATGGATCTAAAATAAAAATTATTAATTTAACATCACATCATTACAAAAAAAGAAAAAAAAAAAGGCAAAGGATTTAAAAAGCAAAAAAAAAAAAACAAAAAAAAACAAAAGAAAGAAGAAAAAAAGAGTTATGTTATCATTACGATATTTAGCAAATTTATTAATTATGTGCAGCTTCTACGCGGGAGTGCTCAGTGATATTGATTACAATACCATTAACGATGATGGTTCATATCGCTTTCGGTAAATTGTTATTAATTTAGTTTGCACGTATTATTCATCAATTAAAAGAACAAAAAAAAAAAAAAAAAAAAAAATATATTAAAAAGAAAATGAAAAAAAGGGCAACAAAGCAAAGCAAAGCAAAGCAATGCAAGTAAGCAATGCAAGTAAGACATGCTCGCTTTTGGGGCTAACGCTTGGCTACCTCTCTGATGATGGAAAAAGTGAAAAATATTATCAATTGATTTGCTATTGAAACCATTAGCTTAGTTAGCATCATCGGCTGAGCGATTGCAGCAGAATTTACCATGATTTTTATCTTTATCCCTAACAACATATTTAACAACACATTCTCGTTCGGTATTTGCCGTAGGTCGTAAGTTGCAGTTTTTTTTTCGGATCGGGGACCAAAATACTTTTACTTTCAATTCTTCTCTGCGGCTTATAAATAGGTGTATGCCACGTTAAAAGCGACCGCGAGACGAATGAACAACTACTATGGCTACCTTGACTCACAAACTTGAATCAAACTTGATCATAAGTCTATGCAGGATGTTGCGATGGCTATCTCGAAATGACAAACATAATATCGCTTTGAGAAGCGACCGCGATCGCATGGATGTCCACCGCATGGATGTCCACCGCATGGATGTCCAAGACTTTTTTTTTTCTTCCCTTAACTCTCAGCATGTCAATACACCTGCTACGATAATTATCAGCCCTGGGATTGATCGAAATATGTAACTTTAGTAAGAATTTAAATCAAATCGTGCGTATCGGTACTTGTGTTATAAGTCATAAAGTCATAAAGATAAATGAAACTTTTCTATATATATATATATGTATATATATATATATATATATATTTATTGATCCTTTTTTTTTTGAAATAATTTTGATATGATTGTGTGTTATGGAACGAATGGTCGCGTTCATTTGCGAACTGGTTATTTGTTTTGTTGTCAGATTTTCTCGATCTATCCACTTATGTGAATTGAAGTGTTGAAGCAATCAATTGCAGATTGAAGTGTCAACTTTCGAACATGCTCACATACATTGACAGATAAACTGAGAATTTCGCTATAATGCAAAATATTTAAACTTTATTACATTCTTCCCTTCGACCCATAATAGTTATCCGTACAACAACTTTGATGGGATGACAGAGGATGTTTCTAACAAAAATTTTTTTTTTCTTTTAATTATCGCCTTTCGAAAATTCAAAGTGACTGCTGAGATTTAACACTTGACTCGTGATTAATTTTACATATGAATGAATTCCGAGAGTACGAGTTTAACACGAAACCTTCCAGTTTTTTCTGAAATAATTTATTGCAAACGAAATTAAATTTTTTTATTTTTTTTTTGGAAAGAACGACATGGGTTTATATATCCATCGGAAATCTTATAGCCTCGTTGCCTGTGCGCTGTGAAACGCCAAGTTTACAAGCGTAAAAGTTGGTTAAATCGTTTCATAGATTCCCAATTATAAATTAGACATCTATACACCTGCTTGCTGTAATAATCTTTCAATATAGCGCCTATAGCGAGTTGAGTTCAAAGTGATAAAAACCTGGCTTCGGAGTTTCACAGAATTTTTAAGCTAAATTTATTCTTTTCCTATTGCTTTTGTAGTTATCATCGGATCATATACGTTTTCACGTCTAATACTTGCCAAAGTTCAGTTTTCAATCTCGATTTCGACGACCGTCAGTCTTGCAACAATAGACGAGAGAGATATTGAGGGGGACAGACGTCTATGTACTTTTTTCAAACAAAATTTACAAACGCTGATCATATATTTATACAAACACACACAGACACACAGTCACACACACACAAACACACATGTATATATATTCTTTCTTATATATGGATTTCTTAATATTATAAATAAAAGGACAAACGGACAGTGCAGTTATTACTTACTCTTCTAATAATTATACTTTTCTTTTTCATCTTCTTCTTTTCTTACACGTATATTATAATTGTAAAGATTTCAGAATATTATTTTTTAAAGCCTTCTTAAGAAATTTTTTTTTTTTGAACGAAGAGGCACTTAGAACTACCTTTCTATTGGAAGCCAGTTTAGTAATGTTGATGTTCTTGCGAAAAGTTGAGTTTTTGCGACACGCGTGCATTACTGCACGGTCATTCGTCTCCTACTTCGTATGTTCGTAAATGTGCCGTACAACAATAGTTGTCTAGCACAACTATGCAATATTATCGAGCACTTATTCATGGTTGTGTCGAAAACATGATTTGACTTCTAAAAAATGTATAGAACTTACGTGAGATTTATGTGTAGCCCCTATACACATATATATAACGTATATCAGAGACAAAACATAAAGACGTGATTTTATTTAGCTTTCTTCGTACGTCTTGGCTTTTGCAATTGCTCAATTCCTCAATTTATGAATGCGACCAACAAGCGATCAAGACCCCTCTTGTCCAAAATAATTTTTTTTTTTTTTTTTTTTTGTATAAGTGATCGCTCATGGGATATGCTTTATATGTGAACGATGGTGATAGACAAAAGGGAGTAGGAAGATACAAATAGGGGAGATGTGAGATCCCTGAAACTATTTAGCCATACGATACTCCTAAATGATTAGAAGTAAGTAAATAAGCTTGAGAATTATAAACAATATTCACAACGACGATCCTTGGATTTCTTATTTATAAAGAGATCGGGAAGGCTAAGTCCGTTTAGATGAAGGAGTGAAATTTTTATAAATATGCGTATAAAAAATGTTCAGACACGTTGATCCACTCAACAAGCCCTTAATTAGCAAATCGAAGTTTGTAACGTTTATTGTTACTGCAGGAAATTTTGAAAATTAAATTTTAAGTTATGGTAATGTGATGAGCCTAACTAATGAATGCGGGAGGGAAAGGGATTTGGTTCAAAAATTTTAAACATTCCGCTCTAAAGTTACAGTTTCGCTTTGAGGGCGATGCTTAGGAGAAGGGAAAATTGTGATCATGAAAGTATTCATATTTAGCTAAATCATTTATATATTGTGTGTGCGTGTGTATTAGTTGTAATTATTTATGCAAGCTTTACTATACAGTTGTTTGCCTCCCAGTGCAACTTATATTTCATAGTACTTGCGTTTTTTCTTTTCTTTTCGTTATTTACATGTGAATAAATATGTATTTATATACATATATTTATATATATATATATATATATATATAAATGCAAAACTCGAACACTTAATGTGGTCAGACATACAAATGATGACATTGGCGGCTTCTATCATAGCGCAAGTGCTTCTCCAGACAACATAGTGCGAGGCCGTTATGGTTCACGTAATCCGGCTACTGGACAAATTGAAGAGACTGTCTATACAGCGGGACCACGTGGGTGAGTTGTTATAAATATCCCCAAATGCCAAACACACCAACACAAACCCGATTTTAAAAAAGATTTTTATCGCGAAACTTTGAATAGTAAAAAAAAAACAAAAAAAAAAAAAAAAAAAAAAACCGCACAAATAAACAAACAAACACACATACATTTATGCACCATAATATCAGCTGCACTACACTTATGCGCCTGCCGACTTATTGAAGCATAAATCAAGCGATTCTAACACGCTTATCAAGATGCTACCGTTTTATGGATTATTTGTAGTCTTCTTCTATTTGCATGCATGTAGAGCAAGCAGTTAAACAATTTGTATCTTTGTCTTATTATATATTGTTGTTGTTTTTATAAAGTTCAATTTCAAGCAAAAACAAACACAAATTTCTATTGTTTATTTATTGAAATGCTCTGTTTTCCCTTGTTTTTGTTTCGTTTTGCTTTATTTATTTATTTATTTTTTTTTTTTGCATCTTCTTCTTCTTTTTCTTCTGCATGCAATGTCCGGTATTAAATTTTTCGGTATTTCGGCTTATTAAGAAAAAATGTTTGAAAAATAAATGGAAGAAAAATGAAATAAACAAATTCTTATTAAAATGTGTAAAATGTGTTGCATAATCTGTGCAATGAAACAAGAGGGCAACTAAATTAGCGCTACGTCTTGCTTTGTTTGTTTGTCCGCTTCGACTTCAACCCGAGTTAACCCAATGTTCTGTATATCCGTTATATTAGTTGCCTGCCACTTACACATTCACATACCACAACCATTGTTTTCTTTCACGCAAAAGTTAAGAATTTTTTTTTTATATATTTTTGTTATAAATTTTCCTGCTAACGGTTTATGAAGCGTAAACGCAAGACTTTATATATAATTTTATTCTAATGTATGCAATATTTATGTAGAGAAAGCATAATGTAATCACTTTTACTTTTTTTTTTTTTTTATTTATTTATTTCACTTTATCTTAACAGATTTCGTGCAAACGGTCCGAAAATTCATCGTAAAACCGATTTGGCTCAGTATCCGATTAGATCCAGAGGCTCGCCGGACGATCCCCTAGCTGATCCATATGATGATCCATCCTATAGTTTTAGTTTTCGTACCGCTGATCATTCGCGCTCAGAAGATAGTGACTCTACAGGTCGCGTTAGAGGTACGGGTTTATTCGTTCAGCACATTTGTCAAAAACGAAGTGTCTTCGAAGTCTATTATCTTATTTTGGCTTACTAGGTCTGTATTCGTACTTGGATGATGTCGGAGAACGGCATAGCGTACGGTATGCAGCGGGCGCTGGTACCGGTTTCGAAGTGTCAAATGCGATACCTGACAATCCAGCACGGGTAGGTTACACTCTACCGTTATATAAAGCTCATCCTAAGACACGTGGTAAAATGACTGTACAACGTGGTCCAGATGGAGCTTACAAGCTTATAGCAGCCGGTCCCGATCATCGACGTGCCGAGAGTCGGGCATCGGATGGTTTAGTGCGTGGCACGTATTCTTTTCTAGATGATAAGGGTGTTCAAAGAACTGTTGAATATATAGCGGGTGCTGGTATCGGTTATCGTGTGGTGCAGAATAGAGTAGGTCCAGGTACTCATATAAATCCATCTGTATCGGATTTTCGTTTGAGTGATACAGACTTTAGATTGGCTAATGATTTTGGTCGTGGCGCGGGAGGCGGCTTGAGATTGGGAGGTTCAAGCTCACGTACGGGTTCAAGCGACAGTGAAACAAGCAGTTCCCCAAGAAAAGGAAGCAGTTCTAGCGGTTCGAGTCGATCAGGTGTTGCGAGCACTAGGGACGAGGAAACTGAAGGTGATTATTTGAAAACTTCAGATCCTAATGCAGTTGACCCGAAAGATAGAACCAATAAACAAGACAATCAAGCTCATCATGAGGACACATCAAGCACAAATAGCAGAGGCAATCAAAGTAATAATAGGCAAAAAACTGATCGTATCGGTACTGCTAATCGTCAGCGAGGTGATAGCAAATACCGGGGAAGTGGTACTACTGATCGCGAAGCTATGAGCGAACGCGAATCGAATAAAATTACTGGTCCTCGGATAACCGGCAATCGTAATTCCGTCGGCATCGAACAGCATACGCAAAATACGCAAAACAGAAATCGTGTCAGCTCAAGCAGCTCAAGTCGGGGTAGTGGTTATAGTTATCAACGTCCTTCAGATTCAGTAAGTTCGTCCTCTCCTTCAAGCAGTTCTGCTTTCTCGGTTGATAACTACAATCTCAACGACGACGATGTAGGTGGTTCCTTGCCACCGTTAATTACGGCTAATCGTAAAATACTTGAATTGGATCGTGAACGTGATTGGGTTGAAAGACATCGTGATTCGACAGTGATTAAAAATATTGGCAAATGGTATATTGGTTTGCCGCCGGGTCAAAGCGTTCGAGCGCATGTACAAAACATTGATATTATACCGTTAGGTGGTCGTCGTGTACCATCACCTTCGGAAGCCTTGCGTCAAGATGAAATAGCTGATATGAACGCTTCACTGGAAGACGGGGACGAAGCGTTATCCTCTTATCGTAGAAGTTAGTTGTGCGCTACATATTTTTTTACTTAAGCGAATCTCAAATATAACTATAGTTGTAAGAAAATTTACTACAAACCAGTATTTACCGACAGAGAGAAAAAGCTGGAAAACTTTTGCGAGCAGTTTTAATATTGAAATTACTATTAAGGAAACACGATTTTTTTAATTAACATTGTTTAAGTCGAATGTTATTTATATATATATATATATATATATATATATTTATATAAAAAAAAAAAAAAAAAAAAAAAAAAGAAAAGATTTTCCAATATTTGGGCAAAAGAACTAGGGTCAGTTGAGGGTTGTCGTTTGCTCGAGCGAACTTAATATGGAATTTACATTTTAGAATTTAGGATTATGGGTGTCTCACCGATATCGAATATGTAAAATATCATATTTTAGTTCGATAGTGAAATAGTCAAGCGATTCTTTCAGTTTCGATTTCAATTCCCCCACCGATGTCTTTGTGGTTGCAAAAGAACGAAAAGCCCAAATCCGTTATATGGAAGCAATCGAGTAATACCATCAACACGTCTTCCATATCGTACGATAGGTTCGATAACCTCACGCAAAACCGTAAATCGATCCCAGCGCATAAGTAAATGAAACTTTTGCTATTTATCGGCATCTAATGAAAAGTTCAATAATCCTGAATGAAAACGCAAAAGAATTTCGATCACAAATTCATTGTCAAGGAACTCTTTCCGCTTATAATATTAGTAACGTGTTTAGAAAAGGAATGTGGAAGAACTGAGTACCTACGATAAGTGTTAGAAATCGGATAATGCTTTTTGATCGGGTTTTAACCCGAAATGGCGTTAAGTTTATGCAAACGTATGCAACACCGATTAGAACTTCTATTATACTTACTTTAAACTAGATCTAGCGCTTCAGACAATGACTCTGAATTGATTTTGTCTGTCCGTATTACCGTTTGATATCTATGTAAACTATTTAGTGCACTTACCCCTTTTTGGTCAACACGTTATTGAAAACGATTTGAATCGAATTATATTTCCGAGGACGCTTCGTATAAAGATCTGTTTTGGAAAATTTGTTATATAGAAAACATTTTCCATTTTTAATATTTTTTTATATCGTATATTACTTGTGGTGCATGATTGTATTAGGTTTGTGCGGACATATGCAATATCTAGTAGGACTTAGGATAGATCTAACTCGTATAATAGCGAAACTGATTCTAAATCGATTTAATCGAGTCTGTTTGTCCGTCTGTCATTCTGTTTTCAATCTACAGCCCAAGAGTAGTAGTACCTTGGGATTTTAAATTGCTGCAAAAATGATTGGATCGGATAGCGCAAACTTTTTTGAACCTCTTTCCATATAGCCGTTTCTATGAAAATTGACATCTTTACGAGCTCAATGATGAGCATGTTTTCATCATAAAATATTGAAAATTGATTCACGATAGCAATCTGATAAAAACATCAAGTGGACCAATGGAATTAATTGTGAATTTGCAAGCAGCGCTGCTGGGAGAGAACAATTGTGGTAAAATAGCAAACTCTCGAACAATTTGTGATCGACTGCTCACTCAATGATTAATAAAAACAATGCGACTTTGTATCAATTTTTGGTATTTCCATGCAATAGTCACAATAAATCGTTTCAATATCAATCTTGTTAAATGAAAATATTGCAGTCGGGGGAGGCTGACCTAAACATATCCTACATCATTTCATCAAGCATGTAAGAATACAACAAAAATTATACACTATCTTTAGGCAGAGGCAAACTTTTCATGGAAATTCTCATCTGAGAGGAAGCTAAAAACGTCCACTAAAGTGGTCCAAATTTAACAAACTTAACTTGCTTACCAAAGATTTTATTATTTTCCCCTTGCTTTCGTTATAAAAACCTACAAAGTAGATTTTATCGTCATATGAGGGCCTTGTTTTTGCAAGGTGGCGCCAAATAATACACCTATGTGATGTATATTCACTACCGTTAATGTTGATGTTCCACATTGCTCCAATGGATCAATTTTGATCAAAAAATATTAAAAATTATACCTCTTTGGCTTATAAAAGCTTGCTTTTCACTAAAATCCTCATATGGAGTCAAAAAAGATAGACGTACGTTATCCAAAATCGATAAGATTTGTTTTTATGTTCGATAAATCATTGTGATCGAATTTTTACCTTGAAAATTGATAATTATGCCTTTTTACCGTACAAAAACTCAGCTCCCATAGAAAGCATTATACGGCAAAGGGCTCAAAGAATTTTCCCATCTATTGCAATGCTTTCGCATCAATTTGCTGTGGAATTCTGAATTTATCAGAATATCTCGAAAATTTGCGATTTGTAGATTGAACACAAGAATATATGGGCAGCCATCAGACGGACAGATAGATTCAGCTCGATTAAAAAAGTGATCGATCCGCTTAATAAACGATGAGTCCGTCCCAACTCCTTCTGGTTGTTACATATGTTTGCACAAATTTACTATAAAATGCATTTTATCATAACCGGTGTAGGGTACAAAAATGCCTTGTGTCGTCTCCGTTATATTGCTCAGAATACGGACGTTACTCTGAGTAGAGTAAAACGTCGTTTTTATTAGCGATAGTTAAATCCGTTTCAGTGCATTTGATCAAAGGAAAATATTAGTAACGTTTTTCTAAATAAACATTTTTCCAATTGTGTAGCTTTTATAAAATTTAACCTATAAAATTATACCCCGGCACGTTTGAGAGACAAGAACTCATGAATAATTAAAAAGAAAAAGAAAGCCTTGCATAACGGAAAGTAAATTTGATTTCTAAAGAGCGGCCTACGAAAGCTACGTTAAGAGGTAAGTTATTAATCCAGTAATTGGAATAATCCTACTACAGTGATGGCAAAATGATTTTATTAAGCAAAAAAAAAAAAAAAAAACCACAAGATTATCGATCAAGATGACACATGTTTGGTTTAATGTACATTTAAAAGGGCACAACGCGAACTCTGCTATCTGGCTTGGGACCCGATTGCCCCTCTTCCACCCTATGAATATAGGTTGCATCTGTTATCCTTACCGTCACTGGAGAAACGTAGATTTGTTCTTCGGGTTTGCTTCGTAATCAAATTAATAAACAATTGACTCGCCCGTCCCTAACCGCTTCTCTAGGCACTTTATCTCGATAAAGCTTAGTCAGTGCAAATATAATTACGAACTGTTTAGCCCGCTCAGAGTTGTTTGCAAGAACCCAAATGACGTCTATCACTTATTCTCATTAACGGATTCTTTAAAGTCCATTAAAGCAATATTGCTTAATACTCGCGATTTACTTATGTCGTACTTGAACTAACTTTTAACCTAAAAAAGTCATTATAAGTCGAAAATTAATTGTTATTAACTATTATCGGTAGCCAATCTTATGCATGTTTGCGATGGCTTAGCAGTTCACATGCAATTTGGTCCTGTACCGATTGTGGGTGTGGCTCTATGCTAGTTGTGTACATGTTTTTTTTTTTCTTTTTTCTTTTTTTTTCCCCTTCTTATTTGTTTTATTGTACTTATACTAAGTTTTAATATTAATTAATTTACAATTTACTTTAAGAGTCAATTGAACTCTGAAGACTGAAGAAGAAATTGTCAATTGTCAAAAAAAAAAAAAAAAAAAAAAATGTTCTCTTTAAAAAACTGCATAAGAGTACGTGATGGGTTAATAAACAATGAAAAGCTTGGCATCGCATTGACCAGTCATCGATTCTATTTAGATGGGGAATCTATACTGTGAATGAACTAGGGAGAGAAAGAGAGAGAGAGAACTGTAAGCGTTTCCTAGAAAGGTCTATATACAGATGGAACAAAGGGAAAGAAGAAAGCGTGAAGCAAATTACGCATATTGTGAATGAGCTCAAGCGATTAGTATTAACTGCGTTTCACACGAAACATATGTCGGCAATTTTTACAATCATATGTATTAGGTTTTATATGCGTTTCTATGCATGACATTAATATGTCGTCGGGTAGTGCGCTTTAAAACTATATTTAATTAACGTGGATATATATATTACATGTGTATGTAAGTGTGCAAGCAAACGATATGATATGTGAAAATTTCTTTTCAGTTTTGTTATTATTATTTTACTGTAATTATAATGAGCCTCTTTTTTTTTTTGTTTTTTTTCCAAAGCTATTTCTCAACATTTCAATAACACACACACACACACACACACACACACACACTCGTACACATTACAAATGTTCTTACAAAATCTGTTTGTCGCATTTTTTTTTTTTTTTTTTTTTTTTTTTACCATGTTTTCCATTTATCTTCAATTACACATTAATGATGATTTCAAATAACCTCAGATGAGTGGTATTGATACAAATTTACATCGATATGCGTTGAAAGCAGATCTAAAGCAGTTCACACGCAGTTTATATATACGAAATAGACAATAAGAGAAAACGAAAAACCTCTAAACCTTAACAAATTGTGGTTAAAATCTATCTAAGATTTTTCAAAATTCGTTACATATAAATTTGAAATGCAGTTCCAGGTTACATCATAGTCTTTAAGTTGAACGCGTTGAAGATGTAACAAGTGTTTAAGAACGCGCAAGCAAAATGAATTTCTATTGCATTTTAATCACTTATTTTGTACAAATTATAACGAATGCATCATGTATAGCCGAAGTTGTTGGTAAAGAGTTATCGAAGGCAAATTCGTATTTTTATATGTCACCAAATGGTGATTATCGTTATGCTTATCGAACGACAACCGGCATGGAAAGTGGTCAAAGCGCCGATGCCACAAATGAGGTGAAAGGTTATTATATGTATTACAACGAAGGCATACCGTTTATGGTAAAATATCGGGCTGGCGTACAAGGATTTCAGCCAGAGATTATACCATTAGCGAAATTGTACCAAAAACAAGTTATTAATTTAAAAGGAACAAATTCAGAATATCCTTTACATTTTTCAAATATGCGCCGGCCAACGGCCACCACACCACATATTGCAAATGTCGAAAGTTTGCCATATTCTAGTGAATCATCGACGGCTGTATCGATTTCCAGCTCATCAAATCATCATCATTATCAGCAGCCTTTAACGCTAGGAGAGGTAACAGAATTAAATAACTTGTCGTTAAGCCAAGCAGTAACAGAATCCGAGCCTGACTATGAGCCGGATATGCAATATAAGCGTCCATACAGCTTCGCTTATCGAGGGGAGCAATCTTCACATTCCGAATCGTCCGATAATTTAGGTAATGTTGTCGGCTCATATTCTTATCGCGATGATGCTGGCTATCATGATCTGTCCTATAAAGCTGGTGACAATATCGGCTTTGTCGTTTTGGGTGGCAATTTACTAAAAGCCTCCGATCAATACGCAACAACAAAACGTAAAAGATTTGCTCAATTTATTGGCAGCTACAACGACGATAATAAACAGCATTCTGTCGCCGAAACTCAGCCAGTCGCCACTTCAGATGCTTCGGTCAAAAGATCATTGCGAAAATTTCAACGCTATACTCGTTGGTAATTTTCATGATTTTTTTTTTTTTTTTTTTTTTTTTTTTCTTCAAGATTTCTATTCATTTCTGCTTAAGAAATATTGAGAAGATCGTAATAACGAAGGCTTACAAAAATTTTGTATAAAATTTTAAAATTTATTTACAGTTTTTTATCGAAATTTTGAAAAGTTCAATACTTAATTAATAAATGATTTGTTTAATGAAAAGGAAAAAATTCAAAAGACTTAAGCAAAAAACTTGAGTAAAATTTTGCAAAAATTAATGAATTAATGAACTCGCTCGATCAATACTTTAATAAATGAATTTTCTAAGAATTATTTCGCGATAATTTTACTTTGCCTTTCATATGGACCTGCGGACTCGAATTATTTTATATACACGATGGTCATACATAGTCGTTTTCATTTCCAATTATTTTTTGTAAATTTTTTAAGGTAATTTTTAAAACGGGGAAATATTTTTATAAAAAAAAAATAAATAAATGATCGATATATAGCCAATCGATCTAAATAAAATAAATGCATATTTTTATCGATTTGCTTAATGAAATAATTAAAAAAAAAAACATGTTTCTAAACAATTCGAACAGAGAAACATGCAGAATGTCTTTCTTCTTCATTCATCTTCATTCATTCAAATGGATTCTGTTAGACTTTCTTCTTGTTCTTGATCATTGAAATATCAAAAATTATAACCTTTTACTTGAAATATGAACCTATCCCGTCCAAATCGTCCATATTCAATTAATAGACAAATAACAAAATTACTATTAATTTTCACTGCTTCACTGCTAAGAAGTTACACATTAAAAGTATAAAATATCATTGCATGCAAATATCCGCATAAACTTCCGCAAGTGATGGTAAATGGTTTTTTTTTTTATCCTTACCCAAGTTTAAAAATAATAACAGAGATAATAGGCAACACAATACTAGCTACACTGGCTATATCAGTTTAAGTATATTATCTTATCAATACACAACAATATTGATTATAATAAAAAGTAATTAGCTTAAACTAATGTATTAACTAAGACCAGAAGGAGCAGACGCGAAACTCTATCTCGGCGGCATTGTAAAGAATTCATTTATTTTCATTTCACAAATGAATATTTTACATATGTATATGTAATCTAAAGATGAATTCTTAATCCGATGTGAATTTGATAAAGAGTTGTTATAAAAAAAGAAACCAAAAAAAAAATGTAGCGTAACTCTCTAAGGCTTTACAACTTTGAAACCAGAATTAATGAAAACGCGTCAATTCCATTTTTCTTTACAAATTGATGGGCGGGAGCGCATACATCTATATATATATAGCGGGGGGTTGCGCTAAGAGCAACAGAAAAATATGACAGACAAGCTGTAATCGCGATTTAAACACGGACGGATGACGGACAGACCGTTTTCGGGCTAAATCGATTTCGTTGTTCATCAATATGTATATATATATATATATATATATATATATATTATACCTTACAAGGTATCTTGCTATGCGTTACATATATTTTCTGAATCTAATGTACTCCTGTAATGGGTACAACAGTAAAATATTAAATACTGTTTGAGTATAATGTAATCAGTTTACCACCAATTTAACCACATTGCATATAACAAACATGCGCGCTATGATGTAAAAAAAAAAAAAAAAAAAACGAAAAAAAAAAAAGTTCATTTAAAATTCCAGACGTCGCCTGAAAACTTCACTCTCTATTTGCGTAAAATATTTGTGATGGGAGAATTAATTTCGAGTCGCGTTGTTAAAGGAGAGAGTCAAAGTGATTTTATAATTTTTAAGTTTGGGTCACTAGCGCCCGATACGCGATAAATCGTCAGGTGCAAACACGAACGGATATCATCATGCAATCAACGTTTGCAAAATTGTTTTTTAAACTATTTTGTTTTTTTTTTTTTTTTAAATACAAGAGAAATAATAATAGAAACCTTGAAATTGAAAGTGTTGCTGAAACATAGAAATTAAAATTAAAATATTTTGTGAAAATTCGGACAAACTACAATATTTAAATAAAAAGTTTTCTCTTAGCTATGATTATTGTTTCATTTATTATTTTATTTTTCATTTTTTTTTGTTTATTTTTTAATGGAAAATAAACTTTCATATGTCACGGAGACATTTTCATTTTCTTTCTTTAACATTCATCTTCATATGTTATATTATTTTGTTGAAATGTTTGCAACGCTAACGTAGAATAGAAACGCAATTCAATTGCTATTATAAGCTCAATAACAAGACATTGAAGATATTTTCAAAGTTTTGATGCTGACTATAAGTCGACCCATTAAATGGATTGATTCACTTGTCATATATATATATATATATAGGATGCCTTTAACAACCTATGTCAACCTATTGAGACCTGTTTGAGATTGTCCGCCCTTTTAAGACACTTCTGACGCTTCATTTAGACATTTAATCACGAACAGTACACAACTAACTTCGTTTATCGTAAGGCTTCTGTGCTAGTACGAAATGGAACTATAAAGAGAGCAAAGGGGAAAATATTGCTCTTGTAAGGAAAAATTTTGCTATTAACATCATCGCTTTGATGTTCTCATCGCGATCAATTCTTTAGCGTACTTTTAATGCAAATCTAAACAAATAAATGCTTACGATATGGGATTTCAACGAGAAGATGGTACGTGCCACGCACTTGGTAAAGAAAGAAAATATTGGGGATAAGAACGAGATTTATTTTTGAATAATAATCTTCTCCTAACATTAGATGATCTTTAAACATCGTGGGATGAACTAACGCCTTGAGATATCAAAACGGCTAACTCCAGTTAAGTTTCCCCCTATGCAACCTATGGAAAGCATTTCGATATATATAACAATCATCGAGAAATGCGTTCATTACTTCTCTACGAAGACCTTTATTATTTAGATATTAGTCAAGTTGAAGAACCGCTTAAATCCGTTTCTTTGCTTAGCAAATAAATAAATAGCTTCAGTGAAGAAAAGTGAAATATTTACTTAATGCTTTCATTGATAATATTATTTTCTGATAAATAAATAAATAAATATGATAATGATTTTATGGAGGCGTTTAAATGGTGTAAAAAACAGATTTTGCGAATATATAGTCAGGGAGAACCCTGTACCAAGTGTTTGAAGTATAACCGTAGTTAACTTGACAAGCACGAAATGCGATTACAGGTGGAAAAAGCAAACCTTTCATGTGAATGGTAGCGATATTCGAAAGCGAAAGTTTGGCAGAGGTTTTTGTTTATTTTTTTAAATGAGCAATCACTCAGAGGATGTCCTCTAGTCGTGTAACGCGGTGACGGCCAGAAAGAAGAGAGGAAAGCGAAAATAATTGAGAAACTCGGGCCGCAGTGCATTGGATCTGTGCTTAATCGATAAGTGTTATGCCTGTTCCGACTGAATACTCACTAACTAAGACTTGAGCTTTAAACCCACAAGCATTGACTTTCCAGCGAGCCTCGTGGCATTTTTCCGATAAATTGAACTTTGTAAAAATCGATCACGATATTCATTAGCTTTCGAATTATATTTATAGAAAATGTTTGAACTAAGTGAAAAATTTCCTTTCCAGCGCGGAATGTCAAGGAAAAGAAGCATAGCTTTTCAAGAGCCGCAGCATGATCTTCATTATGATCTGTCCATAAAAGATTGTTTTTTTTTGTATATAAAAAGCAAAAAATTGTAAAGTTATTTTTATTATTATTATTATTATTATTATTATTATAAATTTAGCCAGAGAATAAATTCTAAGACTAAAGTCTTAAAGCCCTAGCATTCTAAGACTTTCGGCTTGATAAAAACCTAGTCGAGACTCTTGCCTACTC